GAGTCCCGACCACGCAATTTGCTCCCTCTGGTGGTTACAGCTCAAATTTGTGTTTCAGAGCAAACTGCAAAGGGGGAGGGGTGGAGCGGTGAGTTAGGGTATTTCAGAATTGAGACTAGCACTTTATACAACGAAAAGAAAATTACTTTTATCTGCATTTTTTCTGATTTATTATTATATTCCTAAATAATATATCAGTCTAAAGTGTAAGGTTCTTGTTTCACAATACAGGAAGAGAGATTAATAACCAGTGAAATGCTGTAAAGAATCTATCACACTCAAAACAGTATTTAACATTAATCAGGAGTATTAGGTAGTATCACACTGTACCATTAAAGAAAACACAACTATTGTTCAGACAACTGTTAAATTTTTTTCCAACTGTCCAAGTTATCACTTCAAGATACTTGGTTTATAGCACAGCTCATCTGTACTTGATCTTCCTTCAATCTAACAATATAATCAAGTGGCATACAAACATTTCTAAAAAACGCATAAACATTTATTTTAAAATAATCCAAGCCAAATCACTGGATGCAAGTTTTCCCTTTTCAAAAGGGACTCTGCTCTCAGTTACACTGATGCAAACCCACATTATTTACATTCAAAAACAAAACAAGAGCTATTACAGATCTACATCAGCATTGCTATTAACAGAATTTTATATTTTGTACTTTTCATTAACATCCCAAAGTCTTCTTTGATTAAAAAGAATAAAGACTCTACACTTCAAAGAATGATTCAATTAAAAATTTAAGTGCCCATCTGATGTTTAGTAACTTATAAAGGAGATTAAAAAATGAAGTTATATGAAAATATGCAAAAATGAACAGGTATGAATTGTCAATTTGTACCAAAAGCCAAGAATAATCCAATATGAAAAACGTAAGAAACAGTATATAGAAAGCGTACTTGTAAGCTTCATAAATGAAGCATCTCAAAACCGCTGTATAAAAGCACTTACTCTAGGACAAGAGTGAAGAAAGTCTTTGAAGAAATAAGATACGACAGAGCAACAACTCAAAATATTTTATTAAAATATTTAATGTACTTGCTTCACGATCCATGATAAATGATAATCAAATAGATGTCAAACCATATTAATAAACAAATTATGAGGAGCAATATTACAACAGCTGTTTCACTGTAAATCATGGTTTAAATTTTCAGAACATGCTTCTAGTACTGACATCCCTTCTGGCTGTCATCCACTGATGACAACTCAGAGTAGTGTGCTGGAATACATGGGAATAATTAAGCAAACCAAACAGCACTACTCAATGAAATTTCAAGGATACTAAAACCAAAAATAAATTGGCTTAAGCAAGGAAGATGATTAGCTCTTTTTTAAATCTGCATTACTCGTACATCCTTGACCAAGGAGATGATCTATTTTGAAAATCTAGTTAGAAAAGAAATGGTCATTAGTTCTAACTGTGAAGGAAATACTCTCTTTAATCCATGCTGTTATCGTATGTGCCACTACACTCAAGTGACAGCAAAGAAAAGCACAAGCTTTGGGAATGCATCATAATTTCAACACACATTTAGTGCTACTACCAGAAAACTGCATCTAAACAGGGTTGAGTGATAATGAGAACTTGACTTGAACATAACGAATCCCTTGTGACCTACAGATGAAAATGCTTACTGCACAGACCAGCACCTTTTACTTTATTTTCAATCAAATAAGGAAAGTATAAAATCTCAAAGAAAACTGGACAGGTGACAGATGATGAAAAAACAGTAAATCCTAACAGAACAAAAGCAATGGATATTCTTAAGCCACATAAATTCATGCAAGGTATTTTTTAATAACAAAAGCTGCACTATGCAAGGAATGTACATCACACCTACAAAAGGTATCCTGAAGGATGAGTCACTGTAAAAAAGTAACTAGAAGTTAGCGGAAAAAAAAAAATTCAAACTGCAGATAGAATTCCATGCAAGTGTAAAGCAAAAAGAGCAGGAATAGTCTTGGATGTAGAAACTAACAATGTAAGAGTACAGACTGCACATCTACATAGTACTGACCTAGCCAACACTAGCACAACTTGGGCATCCATATTTTAAAACATGACAGAGGAAAACAGGAAGCAATACAGTAAAGAGCTGCAAAACTATTATTAGAAGGCTGGAAAAGTTTCTTATAGGGGGATTTGAGAACTTTAATTATGTAGCACTCAAATCATATTTCAATCTTCCTAAGCATACTGAAAGAAGAACTTAACCATGTCCACAATGACTACTCTTGCAGAGAAGGAAGAAATAAGAGCCAAGAAACTGGCTACAAACTATAATAAAATATGTTAGCAATTAAATATGGGTATAAACTAAGAGGAGAAAGTGGATTCTCCATCTCCGGAGAGATGCAAAAGGAGCAGGATGCTTGCTTATATTGTAAGTTTTAAAATAGTTGTAAATCAATTCAATTGAGCAAGCTGAGATATAAAGGGGCACATGCTGAAAAATAACATGCTTTCCCCTCTTCCTCACTACAGGCATCTATGAAACAAACCTAAAACTAATTCAGCACAAGATAATTTAACAGCCATTTCTCCAGGTTCAAACAGTTATCAAAGCTGTTCAAAGTTTAGACTAGAAACATTCTTGTTGTTAAGATAATGCCATTTTACAAATTTCCAAACAAAAAATGTGTAGTACTATAATTCAAATATTACTCCAATTCTAAAGAAACAGAAAACTTAGTATTACTAACACTTAAACAAAGCTTGTTCAAAACAAGAATTCAATGACCTTCACTTTGAAGAGAAAGTTTAAGGAGTCCAAAAGTATTTTCTTAAAAAATACATTTTTTTCAGTTCCTTAGAAGATAGTTCTGCTAACCATAACAAATACACTTTGTTGAGAAAACAGAATATTTTAGTAAATTATACTTGAAGTCAATTTAAAATAAGGTCACTAATCAAGCAATGTTTTTTTCTCCAGATGTGTCAAAACTGCATAACTATTAGAAAAGAGCATCACTGGTTATTTCTACTGTTTATATAACTGCTGTCATTCATACTGACACATAATAAGGCATTCCAAAACTACATACAGGAATCACAACATCTTAATTACCTGAGAAGTAACAATGAAGTATTTTTGCCTTTCAGTACAGTGACATTTGGTTATACTGTATTAAAAGGTAACGTTAACAAAGCTCTATTTTTTAACTGTCAAATTATTTTTTGTTCATGACCATTCTTTCTGGCTAATTAAAAAGTGTTGTAGAGATGGACTAGACACTTACTGTTTACAGACTACACATCGCTAGTAGAAGACTACAGTACAGTAGATAAATTGCTAAAATGCACAAGGCAACAGCTCAGATGTTCCTGAAATCAATCAGTGCCTTGACATCCCACTTAAAACTATGGAGCAGAGGAGTTCTGATTACTGTCTGCTTTCCCTTGTTTGCAGTACCTGGCTGAATGACTGCCAACTACCCATTTGCCTGCTGTACTCTCCCTAACTTGATGTGCCAACGTCTGAAAGTATCCTATGCAAAATATTCAGAAGAGACAGAAATGAGAAAACAGGCATTTTCTTTGTTAAAAATCACAGACCAGACCAAATATATCAGCCTTCTTACTCTAAGGCTATGAAGATTATTTTACTTAAATCTTACAGTAGGTTCCAAAACTTTTTCCTCTGATGCTGGCTTTATAATTTACTAGGCAATGAAGCAACTGCATTCATGTCACACCTTGCTTAGAAGGACCTTACCGACAAGCATACGCTTTCTAGCAAAATAAAGAGGATGCTAAACAACTGATGTAAGTTATCATTTAAAGTATGAGGTTTCAGAAGGAACATTTTATAGTTAGGTGTAAGAAAATTAAAGTCAACTATTCTTCATAGATAAACTGTTACAAGAATTTCAAGAATTTATGGCCCTTTCAACAAGAGTACCTTATGATTCTACAAGATTCTTCTAAACAGTTGTGAGTTTCACTGTGGTCTTTGGCTTTCCCTCAGATTAAAATTTAATTTTAGGACTACAGGTTTTATGTTTTCTTTCTTGAATACCCGGGATTTTTTTGTCCATTTCTGGAAGGGAAAGAGACATCATAGCACCATCCTTGAATAAACTCTTGAAAATACTGCTAGGAAACATTGATGCCTATGTTATACTTGATGGCTAAAATATGAGTAGCTTTCACAACATTCACAAACCTGAAGAAAACCCAAAATATAATATGCATTTTACAATTCTCAGACTGTAAATAATTTTTATACTCAAAAAACTAAACAAAAAACTTAAAAATAAAAACCTCTTGTACTCCTACTGATTTAGATTTCACAATAAACTCTTCCACAGCTGTGTTGTGGTAACATGCAAATCATAAGTTATCTCTAAGAAACTAATGCTTTACAGACGGAACCCAACAACTATCCAGCAATTAAAAGACACAATGCCAATTTCATTTGCTAAAAACCACTATTAGTAGATACAAATTCAGTAACCTCTTCAGTACACTCCCTTTTTTTCTGCAGTGCATTTACAACATAAATGTTGTCATAGCAGTTCAACCCATTTTCCTACATAGCACTTTTCTCTAAAAGCATCAAAAGCACCCTATAGCCCACTCCACTCTATACTTAATGCTTCAGGGTGTTTATAAGCCAATTGGTACAAGATCACAAAACAGTAGTGCAGAAAGCCAACTGATGAAATACCATGGAATAGCTGATACCATTCTCTCAAACTGCACAGACATGTTCAGACAGCACTTCAGCGAAGAGAACAAACGAGACTGCCCTCACAGAAAACCTACCGTATGCATAGCTACTTGATTATGCTAATAATGCCTCAATGAAGTCATGATCAAGTAGCCAAGAACTCTTTTCCTGCACACATCAAATGGATTTAGTTATTTAGTTAAGACTAACAATTCTATATGGAACTGTGTCACAACCTTTTCAGCTTCAAATGGG